TACAAAGAGGTTGCTGAATCCGGCCAGTGGCCCATCTAGTCCACTATCCTGTTCTCATGGTGCCCAGCCAGTGGCCAAAGCACAGCTCTCCTTGGAAATTCACCCCCTCTGAGTTTTGTGTTGCAGTTTTCCAACCAAAGAATGTGTGCAAAAATGCATCCGTTCAGGAAAAGAATGTATCAGGTGTATTGTATTGGGGAAATGTGTGCATTAGGCTGAATTGCATACAAAGGTTTTTATTTGCACTAAAATGATGTCAAATGTTCATGAGGACTTCTGAAAAACAGCAACTTACAATTTGATGCAGAAATCTGCAGAACCGAACTTTAGACTGGGGGAAAAATGAGAAACTGAAACAGTTGTCCATGCCTAGCTAAGAGTACTGTCTGGGTAGAGGAAAGGGGTCCAACTCCAGAGGTGTCCTGCGAGGTTCTTCCCAGCCTTTGATTGTCCCTCATTTCCTCAGCTTGATGTCTTCCCTGCAGCTTCTTTTCCTGAAGGCTTCACTGTCTACTTTCCCTCAAGTTCCATTTCCTGCCTACTTAGTCCACCTGCTTCTTACTCAATTGCTTCCCCACCTCCTGGGACTTCTTCCTACACAATTTCCAGCCCTCCATCTCACTGCCTGTCCATAAAGCCCAAGTGAGTGAGGCTTTCATGCCAACCCAGCCAAACTGACAATTCACTTCCCTGGTAAAAGCCTAGACGGTTCACAAACATGGTGGTCTTGGCAGTGTCATGATCCCTCCAGCAGAGTTTTGTGAACATTCCATGACATCACAGCAGCTCAGCCAGTCCTTGCCCTTGGATTACCTAGAGAGGCATGTTGTTCCCGCACTTCCCCGAAGCTATTTTTCTCAATCCATATTTCATTATTAATTTTGACTGTATTTCTTTCATATCACATGTTATATTTTTCATAACAGGAGTTCAGTTGGCATCAGGGGCACAATATATTTCTTTGCCTTTTTCTAATTGCTTGAGCTTTGGCCTCTCTCTCAACCAGAAGGCCCAGCCTCATTTAACATTTTGAGGCTTTTAAATTCTCATTTTGGAGCCATTAAGGCTGTAGCTTACTTTGGATAAGAATGTGAGCTTGCTTTGAGGTTTAACCTGTGCATCTCACAGAAGCTTTAAGTGGAGTGGTCATGGAGGTCTCAGTGTGGTGAAATCGGTCAAATGAAAAAGCAATATTGGGGTTGTCAGAAAACAGCATGTGCACATTATTGCTCTGAGACTGCTCTGTTTGCTGACAAGGGCTATGCTGTCATGGGAATGCTGAGACTGGGTGGGGTGCAAACCTTGTAGAATTTCATATAATCATAGAATGGCAGAGTTCAAAGGGACCCCAAGGGTAGACTAGCCCAACCCTCTGCAGTGCAGGAATCACAACTAAAGCACCTCTGAAAGATTACCACCCTACCTCTGTTTACAAAACTCCAACAAAGGAGAGTCCATCACTTTCCACAGTAGCCCATTCCACTGTTGTTGAAGAAGAAGAGGAGTTTGGACTTGATATCCCGCCTTTCATTCCCCTTAAGGAGTCTCAAAGCGGCTAACAATCTCCTTTCCCTTCCTCCTGAGGTGAGTGGGGCTGAGAGACTTCAGAGAAGTGTGACTAGCCCAAGTCACCCAGCTGCTGCATGTGGAGGAGTGGGGAAGCGAACCTGGCTCACCAGATTACGAGTCCACCGCTCTTAACCACTACACCACGCTGAACAGCTCCTACCGCCAGAAAGTTCTTCCTAACGTTCAATCAGAATCTCCTTTCTTGTAATTTGAATCCATTGGTTTGCTTCTTCTGGAGCAGCAGAAAACAAACTCGGCTTTCCACCTTTTCTTGTAGAGATTCGGGTCCTTGGGGACCCAAGACCTTCAACTGCCTTCTGTGGGTGGGAGATCAACATAAGAGCCTGCTAGATCAGGCCAATGGCCCATCTAGTCTAGCATCCTCTTTTTACGAGGACCAACCAGATGCTCATGGGAAATGAGTAAGCAGAAGAGCAAATATCCCCTCCTGTGGTTTCCAGCAACTGGTATTCAGAAGCATTGCTGCCTCCAACTGTGGAGGCAGAGCCAAGCTTACATGGCCACTAGCCATTGATAGGCATCTCCTCCATGAATTTGTCAAATCCTTTTTAAAAAGGCCTTCTAGGTTGGTGTCCATCAATGCCTCCTGTGGGAGAAAGTCTCATAGTTTAACTATGTGCTGCGCTGAGAAGTCTTGCCTTTTATCTGTCCTGGACCTTCCGACGTTCTGCTTCATTAGGTGGTGTATGCAGAAATGACATCTGAGGAACTGAAAACGGGAGCTTTGTTAGAGTGCTTTCCCCAGCCCAGTGCCCTTCAGATCTTTTGAACTACAGTGGACGCTTGGGTTGCAAATGTGATCCATGTGGGATGCACGTTTACAACCCACAGCATTTGCAACCTGCGTCTGCACGTCTGCGCATGCATTTGGCGCTTCTGCGCATGCATGACTGCTGAAACCCAGAAGTAACCCGTTCCAGTACTACTGGGTTTCGGTGGTCCGCAACCCGAAAAAACACAACCTGAAGCGGCTGTAACCCGAGGTATGAGTGTACTATTCCCTTTAGTCAGCATGGCTGTGGGACGATGTGTCTGAGGGGAGCACAGTTGCACTGGCCATTAGGGCTGAGCGATGTCTGGTTTTCAACATCATGATATATCACTGGCTAAATATCACGATACTGTATACCGATATGTCACAATGTCCGAAATAAGGATAGAAATAATGAGGTGAACTGAGTAATATCCTGGCAACTGCTGCTACTTAGAAGTCTAAAATGGATACATTTTTCTGGCAGGGAGAAACCTCCTCTCCCTTGTGCATTTATCCATATTATATATTTTATTCTTCACGGTTTCCCCCACATCATGATTTATTTATTTTTTACATAGCATGCACGCTCACATCGTGATTCACGACATATCACATGCCCAATATTATGGAACTTTTACCACAATGTGGACTTCAAACCAATTTTGCATGATGTATCGATATGTCACCCAGCCATAACTGACCAGGGCTGATGGGGTTGTAGTCCTAAACATCTGGAGCATCCCAGTTTGGGGAAGGCTGTGTTAGAGTTTGCTGGTGGTTGTGATATTTTTGCTTCTCACCTGCTTTACAGAGAACTCACTGGGTTCTCTGCTTTGAAAACAGAAAAGGCATCCTTTTCAAAAATAGCTGAGGTCTCATGAAACCTCCAGGTCCAAGGTAATCTTTCTAGATTCCCAGGTCCTTCGGGGCATTTGGCCACTGTGAGAACAGGAGGATTTGGCTTGATTCAGCCGCAGAGCTCTTCTTAGGTCCTTATTTGGATGCACCCTCAATTAGTGCCAGAAGCTGAGGCGTGAGACTAGCGGCTACCTGGGAGAGTTGGAGCACCCTCTCCAGGCAACATCAGCCCCCCCCCCCCGCGATTGACAGACAGTAGAAACCTTTTGGCTAGCTAGGCTGGGTATAATTCCTCCAGGAGCCTTCTGTTGTTCTAGCCCGGCCACCAAATCTGCTTCCTTTTGACTTCCAGCTTGTTCATTCACCCCTGGGTAAGATTTCAGGTGCAGTTTCCTGGGTCCTAAGGCTTTTCTCCTTTCCAGTTTTGCTTTTCTGGGACATCCTTGTCAATAATGAGGTTGCTAATTAGCTCTTAATACCTGTTTAAAGTCTCTCAGTTGAAACGCTGGAGCAGATTGGGTTGGAACGGAAGTAATTGGAAGCGCTAATAGGCTGCCGCTAATTGCTAGCCCATGTTTGCAGTGAGCCAGGTAAAGTGTGGAAACTGCAGGATTTTTTTGGGGGGGGGAGAGGGGGCTTTGTGGTATTGAGGGCAATGCCAATATGAATTCCATTTCTATTTCAAATGCAGTAAAAGAAGTACTTAATTTGTTCCGGAGGTCTGTTCTTAACCTGAAACTGTTCTTAAGCTGAAGCACCACTTTAGCTAATGGGGCCTCCCGCTGCTGCCGCACCGCAGGAGCACAATTTCTGTTCTCATCCTGAAACAAAGTTCTTAACCTGAGGTACTATTTCTGGATTAGCAGAGTCTTTAACCTGAAGCGTATGTAACCTGAAGCGTATGTAACTTGAGGTACCACTGTAGTTCTCTGCCTACCATGCTGTTGGCTTCCATAAATTTTCTGCGATTGCACTGCCTGTGAGCAGAATCTCACCTATTATCTCCTGTGAGTTGTGCCATATCAACAAAACTCTGAAAATAAAATGCTGGGGTCCCAGCTTGTTGAGTATGTGAGTTGATAAGAGATGTCTGAGAAGGGGTGGAAAGAGCTGTAGTCTGAGCTGTGCATTGGAACCGAAGTACCATATTTGCTTTTGTGGGTTGCTGGACTGTGGGGAGCTGATGCTGTGGGGAGCTGAAGCATGAGTCCCAGCAGGATTGGGACCAGAGTTGGAGGCAATGCTGGGGAAGCTCTAGGGCAGGCATAGGCAAACTCCGGTCCTCCAGATGTTTGGGACTACAATTCCCATCATCCCTAGCTAGCAGGACCAGTGGTCAGGGATGATGGGAATTGTAGTCCCAAACATCTGGAGGGCCGGAGTTTGCCTATGTCTGGTCTAGGGGTGCCAACTTGAACAAGTTACTGGGCAGGCCTGCCCCCCACAATCAATCACATGACGTGGTGCAAAGACACCATTTGAATGGCAATGCCCATCAACTTTGGGGAGGCCCAGCCCTCTCAAATATTTTATGGGGGGTGGGTGAAGGGACCTTGGACCCCAGGAGTCGGCTCCTACAGGCAGATCTTCATCTGGCAAGGCGGCATCAATTGAGGGATGGTCTATAGCAGGTCAGGTTGTGCAGAGGAAGTCTGTCCAAGGAGGACTGTGAGAAAAATATATATCAATGAGGTAAGTGTGCATTTAGGAAAGGGAAGAGAGCCTCAGATCCCTGGTCCATCTAGCTCAGTACTGTCAACACTGAGTGGTAGCAGCCCTCCAGGTTTTCATACCAGAACCTAGAGCTACCAGGGATTGACCTTGGGGGCTTCTGCACTCAAAGCAGATGCTCTACTATTGAGCCACAGGAAGAACAGATGGTCTGAAGCAAGACTGGGGAGCCACATGTGCAGAGTGCCGCTGCCATCTGTATAGAGGCCAAAGCCTGAACCACAAGTATTTTTAGCCAGAGAGGAGTCATGCCAAGGCCACAGCAAATCTGCCTCTTCTCCTCCTTCTCTGCATCCATGAGTGATTCTCCAATTGCTCTAGCCAGCAGCTTCCTGCTTTAAGGGTCCTGGCCAATCCCAGCAGTTAGGAGGTCCTGAGTTATGAACTTGCCTCATTATTCCCTCTACTAATGCCTTAATTTTTTTGGCATGCCAGACGAGGGATCGTGTAGCGAGGCGGAAGCTAAGCCTCGCCTCGCCTCGCCTCGCCTGCCAGCCAGCCAGGCCTCCTCGGATGCTCACTTGTTTTCATCCTTCGTTCCAGAGCGTTGGCGCATGCCTGAGATGCTCTCAGCCCACGTCTTGGGCCTTGGCAGGTTGACAGCCGTGTCTGTGCTAATATACAACACGTTGCATTTTTTTTGACACAGCTGCTTTCCATGGAGAGGGGGAAGAACCCACCCAAACAGTCCTCTTTGGCAAGATCCCCTCCTGCCCACAGACGGCAAGCGAACAAGCCTTCCTTACGTACGCCACGAATCCCACAGGCGGGGGCGGGAGAAAACTCGCACTGCCGCATTTTGGGGCGGATGGGATTTCTAGGTTTGTGCACTGTTGAGTCCAAAGCGTTCCGCTGAGGATGCTGAATGGAGAGGCAAAACTTGTTTAAGGCCAAAGGGCGTATTCCTTTCTAGGCAACTGTGTGGGTGTGTCACATGTCAGTGGTAGGTGGAACCAGAGGCAGAAGTGGGCGGAGCTATGTATGTATGTATGTATGTACATATGTAGGTATTTATTTTTTGCTTTGCGCAGAAGACTACTTTCTACTCACACTCATTCACCCTCTCTGTTCTCCATCAGCATTCAAGGGCACATTCCAGTGAGGCAAAATTACTCAAGGTAGACAAAATTGAGTAGATGGTCCAATGTAGACCCTCCAAATGTCCCTATTTTCCAGGGACAGTCCCAGATTTACAGAAGCTGTCCCAGTTTCTGATTTGATCCTGGCATGTCCTGCTTTTTCTTATGAAGTCCCTATTTTCATCAGAGAAATATAGGAGGGTATGGCAGGACATCTCAATTGTCATTGGAGTAATGTTGGAGGGTATGGAGTTATGTGACGCCCGAGCCAAGGAGATAAGTAATTATGCAACCTTTAGAAGACATCTGAAGGCAGCCTTGTATAGTAAGTTTTTAATGTTTAATTATGTTTTTATAAATGTTTGAAGCCACCTAGAGTGACTGGGGCAACCCAGTCAGATGGGTGGACTTTAAAACTATTATCATTATTAGGGCTTCACTATTTTGAATGGAGAAATGTTGGAGGGTATGTCAATGGTCTGGCTTGCTTCCTGAGTTCCTATTTAAACTAGCCATTTCTGCAGAACCATGAGGACATTTTTTAAAGGGGAAGGAATACAGGTGAGTTGCAGAACACATCCTTTGCATACATAAGGTCCCAGGCTGAATCCTCAATGGCTTCTCCGTGTAGGACTGGGAAGGACTCCCTGGCTGAAACCCTGGAGAGATGCTGCCAGTCAGGGTGGACAATATTGTCATAGCTGCTCCAATGGGCCGATCCAGTAAAAGGCAGTTTTCTACATTCCTCCACTTCCTTTGAACCACCATGACGCCTATCCACAATGTTGTAACCCCAAACATCTGGAGGGCCCAAGGTTGGGTAAGGCTGAGTTCGTTGGAGGAGTGCAATGGGGCACAGCAGCGCCTGCTTCTCCTCGGCTGCTCCTCTTCACCCACCCCATTGCTTCCTGTTTTAAGCAGGCTTTGAATGAGATGGTTCTGCTTGATGCTTGTTAAGCATCTTCTGCTTTCATGATGAAGGTGACTTTTTCCTTTTTTTTAAGGGAAAGAAAGCTTTAAATTCTGCAGAATTGGAAGCCACCTGGAAATGTTTCCAACTGGCTCTGTCTGCTTCCTCTTTCTGTTTCCACCACTTGACTTGCCTGGGCCAGTAGTGGGTGCAAAGGAGCCAACTCCTGGGGGCTGAGGTCCCTTCACCCTCCAATAAAACATTTGAGGGGGCAGCCCCTCAAATGTTGATGGACATTGCCATTCAAATGGTGTGTGTGTGCCACATCTTGTGGCCAATTATGTGGGGTGGGGCTTACCTGGCCCCCCCCAATATTTTATTCTAGTTGGCACCTTTGAGTGGGTGACAAAACCAGTGCAGCCAAGTGGAAGGAGTTTTGACTCGGGGGCAAGTGTGCCTGGGTCCAAATGTCTGCTCATCTCTCTGTCTCACTTCTGCAACTTCAGCAGAAAGGAACTGAGGGTTGCCTGTACCCCTTGTTCATCACCGGAGGCTCCATCCAGATACCAACAAGAACATAAGAAGCACCTGCTGGACCAGACCAATGCCCCATCTAGTCCAGCATCCTGTTCCCACAGTGGCAAACTAGTTGCCTCAATATGAAACCTGCAAGCAGGACCCCCAGCACAACGGCAACTCTCCCCTCCTGTGGTTTCAGTTCCAGCTGTAGAGGCGCAGCATAGCTGCCATCATAACTAGGAGCCATTGATAGGCCTCCATGAATTTGTCTAATCCTCTTTTAAAGCCATCCAAGTTGGTGGCCATCACTGCCTCTTGTGGGAGTGAGTTCCAAAGTTTCACTGTGTGCTGTATAAAGGACTTTATGTGTGTTAAATCTTCCAGCATTCAGCTTCATTGAATGTCTGTGAGTTTTAGTGTTCTGGGTGAAGGAGAAAAACTATTCTCTGTTCACTTCCTCCCTGCCATACATACCATATTTTTCACTCCATAAGACACACCTGACCAAAAGACGTGCCTAGATTTTAGAAGGGGAATGCAAGGAAAAAACTATTTTTAAAGGGAGCACTGAGCAGAGCCTGTATGCATCCCAGGCTCTGCTTAGCGCTCCCTTTCATGAGCCGTGTGGAGCATGTGTGTGGCACTTGCAGGCTTTTCCCCAGGAGGGAGAAAAGCCCCCAAGAGCCACGCACTCTTTAAAGGGTGCGCGGCTCCTGCGGGCTTTTCTACGAGGAAAGAGAAGGGACTGACTGGCCGCGTCAGTCCCTTCTCCCTCCTCGGGGAAAAGCCCGCAAGAGCCGCGCAGAGCATGTATGTGTGTCTCTTGCGGGCTTTTCCCGCCTGCCTCCCGCCTGCATTCACTCCATAAGAAGCACACACATTTCCCCTTACTTTTTAGGAGGGAAAAAGTGTGTCTTATGGAGTGAAAAATACGGTAATTTCATATGCATCAATCATGCCACCTCTTACTTGCTTATTCTCTAAACTAATTAGATGGGGAAGGGGCTCTTGCTCTTGGAACTTTGAATATGGGATGCTGTCAACAGAGAAGCTTTTGACCTTGGTGGTACCACTTTGGACGTGGTTTCCATGGTGATCTGGCCCAATCGCCTTCTAAATCCGGCCCATGGATGGTCCAGGAATCAGCGTGTTTTTACATGAGTAGAATGTGTGCTTTTATTTAAAATGCATCTCTGGGTTATTTGTGGGGCATAGGAATTCATTCATTTCCCCCCTCCAAAAAATATAGTCTGGCCCTCCACAAGGTCTGAGGGACAGTGGACTGGCCCTCTGCTGAAAAAGTTTGCTGACCCCTGCTCTAGGAGAACACATGACGTCACCTTACACCGAGTCAGACCACAAGTCCATATAGCTCTGTGTTGTTGACGCTGACTGGCAGTGTCTCTCTGGTTTCTCAGAAATGTGAATGTTCCCAGGTTTAGGAATTAAATCTGAGCCTTTAGCATGCAGTGCTGATGCTGTGCCCCTGAGCGATGGCCGTCTGAGGAACTCAACATGCTTTGTGTCTTTGGCTTCTTCCTCTTTGGAGGCCCCTGGCTGGGGGAGGCAGGAAAAAGTGGGTTTCGGAAATCTGATGTTTCTGCTCAGAACTCTTTGTCTTTGCTTTGCACACTCTGGGGAACCAGTCATGTGAGGGCAGCTGCACAAACCCCTCTCATCTCGTGGGCAGAACTCAGCGGTAGACATCAACTGGCTCTCTCCTCTGTCCTTCTCTCCAGAAAACCCTGCCTTTTTCTCTGAAAGGGGGGGGGGTTCAGAGAATTATTGGCAGGCACCTCAAACTACAATTCCCCAGGATTTTGAAGAAGAGAACTGTAGTGTAGGTTTAGCAGATGAGCATGAAACAGGGGAGATGGGTATGCCTCCCTCCTGCCACTGCTGCCAAACTGGAGACTAGAAACATGGAAAGGATGCGCTTGATAGTCCTAAGAGCATAAGAACAGCCCTGCCGCTGTATCACGCCAAAGGGGTGTTCATCATTGCTCAGCATCCTGTTCTCATAGTGGGTGACCAGACGCCCCAAAAGAAAAAACCTAAAGCAGGATGGGGAGGAAGCGCTTTTCCCTCCTGATGTTTCCAGCAACTGGTACTCAGACGCATTCTGCTTCTAACAGTGGTGGGAGAATGTATCCATCAGGCCCGATAGCCTTCTGCTCTGCTCTGGGAGCCAGTGTGGTGTAGTGGTTAAGAGTGGTAGACTTGTAATCTGGGGAACCGGGTTCGCATCTCCGCTCCTCCACATGCAGCTGCTGGGTGACCTTGGGCTAGTCACACTTCTCTGAAGTCTCTCAGCCCCACTCATCTCACAGAGTGTTTGTTGTGAGGGAGGAAGGGAAAGGAGAATGTTAGCCGCTTTGAGACTCCTTAGGGTAGTGATAAAGCGGGATATCAAATCCAAACTCTTCTTATTCTCTGCGGTGAATTTGCCTAACCCTCTTTTGAAGCCATCCGAGCTTGTGCCTCTTGTTGCCTCTCGTGGGAGCGTATTCCATATTGTAACTTTGTTCTGCCTGTGAAGAAGGATTTCCCTTTGTCTGTCCTGAATCGTCCAACATTCCAGTTCATTGGCGACCCCTGAGTTTTAGTGTTATATGATCATAGAACGATAGAGTTTGACCTTAAAGCACCATTTAGTCCAACCCCTTGCAATGAGAGAGCCAAAGTCCAGGCTTCTCTGGATTGGCCTTGATATGCATCATTTCAGTATTATTATACTGAAGTAATAGAACAAGGTTATGCTAATAAAGGCAGTCTTTGTTTAGTCTAGCCTTCTCCAACCTAGTGTTTTGGACTACAACTCCCATCAATTTCAGCCAGCACATTCAAATGCTGAAGTGTGTTTATATCTGCTATCTTGGGCAACCAGCTGGAGCCCACGGCAAGGCTATTTCCTGGGCTGTATCTCTTCAGCGGTGATGGGGGGGGGGGATATCACATGTCTGTTCCCTTCTCTGGGTTTGAAAACTGGCAGAGCAGGGAGGCAAGCTCAGTGGTTAATTTTATTTTTTGGATGCACAAGTGAGGCTCTTCCTCCTTTCACTGCTGCTGGGGAAGGGCTGTGGCTCAAAGGTAGAGCATCTATTTTGCATGCACAAGGTCCCAGGTTCAAACCCAGGTATTTCCAGGTATGCTTGTGAGCAGTGTTAGAAACTCAGATATGTAACCTAGGCACCAAATGGCTCCTCAGACCAAGGTTACAATTGCCAGAACGGCATATCTAGGTGCCATTTTGGGGTAAGGCAGCTGTCAAGTCTTATTTTTCAAAAGATGAACTGATTGTATTTGATTCTCAGTTAAGCATCTGGCTAGTTCAGAGGACAACCTTGCGCTAGTTTAAGAACTTTGGGAATTTAAAGAAAAGTCACCCTAAGGTCCCAGGGCAGGCCACAACAATTAAAACACAATATTAAAAAGTAGTTTTAAACAACTTGCAATCACAGAAATATGCAAAAGCCAGACATTCCAAGTATCCAAAACCAGGCTACAGAGTTTGGTCTGTAGCTGGGTGGGTGAGGTAGATGGGTGGATGGATGGATGGATGGATGGATGGATGGACCAGGCCTACTTCCCACCCCCACAACTGGAAATGGTACAGGAAAAAGGATGGGCAATTGATTTGGTTAAATGTATAAGGCGCCATTTGGTAATGAAACAATTGTTGTTGTTTAGTCGTTTAGTTGTGTCCGACTCTTTGTGACCCCATGGACCAGAGCACGCCAGGCACTCCTGTCTTCCACTGCCTCCCACAGTTTGGTCAAACTCATGCTGGTAGCTTCCAGAACACTATCCAACCATCTCATCCTCTGTCGTCCCCTTCTCCTTGTGCCCTCCATCTTTCCCAACATCAGGGTCTTTTCCAGGGAGTCTTCTCTTCTCATGAGGTGGCCAAAGTATTGGAGTCTCAGCTTCAGGACCTGTCCTTCCAGTGAGCACTCAGGGCTGATTTCCTTAAGAATGGATAGGTTTGATCTTCTAGCAGTCCATGGGACTCTCAAGAGTCTCCTCCAGCACCATAATTCAAAAGCATCAATTCTTCGACGATCAGCCTTCTTTATGGTCCAGCTCTCACTTCCATACATCACTACTGGGAAAACCATAGGTTTAACTATACGGACCTTTGTTGGCAAGGTGATGTCTCTGCTTTTTAAGATGCTGTCTAGGTTTGTCATTGCTTTTCTCCCAAGAAGCAGGCGTCTTTTAATTTCATGGCTGCTGTCACCATCTGCAGTGATCATGGAGCCCAAGAAAGTAAAATCTCTAATGAAAGAATACTTTAAAAAAACCCCACTAATGAATTGGCAGCAAGCTCTCCAGCTGAAAGCTCCAGAGCTAGATCAAGGGGTTAAGTTAGATTCCCTGAAACGATGGAGAGACTTTTAAAAGTGGAAGAAAGACAAGTCTAAGTTCCTTCTTGCAGTACAAGACAGTGTGTCGAGCACTGCAGCCTCTGTGTCTCTGGAGAAGTCAGTTGCGTTCTGCTGTTGGCACTCAGGAACTGGGCTTCCTTTGTCTTCTACATCTTGGCGGTTGCTCCACTGCAAGAGGCATTGTCTGTTGGCTGCAGCAAAAGGACTGCAGAGTATTAATCATTTTGAGGCTGGATGCACCAGCAACCACTTCATTGGAAACTTGACTGCAGATTGTTTTGATCTTTGCTGTCCGTCTCTCTAGATCCTCCCTTCCCTTCTCTTTCTGCTGACTGGACTTGGCCTGCGTACAACTTCTCTTTCTAAATAGTAATAATTTTCAGAGGGGTAGCCACAAGAGATATATAGATATTCATTTTTAATTATATTTAGAACCTGCCAGTGTCGAACAGGTGGTTAGAGTGTCGAACAGGTCAGCATGCGGCAAAGTCTGATAAGCTACAGTATCTCAGATTTTACTTGACCCATCTACATGGCTAATCCAGGAAGAAGAGTAAATCATAGTGCAGGTGGGTGGGGGGAGCTTGAAAACCAATGTCAGCTAATGGGGTTGAAAGGGGGAGTTGGGGAGGAATATTTTAGCCTCTAAAATGCTTAAAAGTTTGGGGTGAGCTGCTTGAGGTTTCCCCAAAGCTCCTATTGGCAGTAAAAGGACGGAGTGTTTCAGAAACTTCAGGCAAGATGCTAAATCAAAGAGAAAACATCAACAAATATTCAAGATGTGCCAAAAGTTTCAATTTCACCCGGCAAAACTTTAAATATTAAATATACCGCAAACACTAATTAATTGTTGTTAATTATTTCAAGGTTTGGCAGGTACCTGCTGTGAAACCTCAGAAGATCATCATCATAACAGTAAAAAATAAAAAATAAACTTGCTGTCAAATGCTAAATGCTACTGCGTACCAACTGTCAAATTCTGTCAGATATAGCTGGATGTCAAATACAGATGGGAATATTAGAATATCTGATAAATATGAGGCAGCAGCGTTCTTAGGGGTGTGTGGAAATCTAGGACCAATCTTTTTTTAAAAAATATTATATCTACCTGTTCTTCTGCAATGGAGCTCAGAATAACTTCCATTGAATAGAAGGGGAGCACTTTTCAGCTAGTCTCCATACAAGAACTGAACAGTCCCAAATTCCTTAGCTCCAGCAAGGAAGCTTCATTATGTTGTTTTGGCACTATTAAATACCAGCATTGAATTTGGGAGAAGCTTCTGTTCTTGTTGTTGGATTAGACAATTAGGTGTCTATTGACACCTAATTAGGGCTGGGCAATAAACTGATACCTTGCCCAGAACCGGTTTGAAGTCCATCTTGTCATATTGGCTTCGTAATTTTTGACCTGGCAATATATTGTGAATCGTGATGTGTGAAGCCAGCCAATGCCTCTGCATAGCTCCACCCTTATTTCAGACATCGTGATATATCAGTATATCGTGATGTTTAGCTGGTGATATATTGTGATGCTGAAAACCGGATTTCACCCAGCCGTACACCTAATTAGTGGACTCTAGAGATCAGGGTTTCTTTAGATGTAAGAAGAGCTTGGTTACTGGATCGGACCCAAAGGGGATCCATTTAGGGCAGCATCCTGTTCTCACAGTGGCCAGTCAGATGCCCTGTTTGGACACCCAGAAACAGGACCTGAGCACAACAGCCCTATCTTCCCAGCAACTGGCATTCCAAGCCTCTGAAAGTGGGGGTGAAATCTAGCCATCATTGCAAGTAGCCATTGATAGCCTCATCCTCCATAAATGGTCCCATTCTTTCTTAAGGCCATCCAAGACAGGGGTCTCTTGTGGGAGTGAATTCCATAGGTTTGTGGGGCGCCTGGACTTCCGTTCTAATTCTGGGGTGCCCAGCATTGAATTTAGCATGTTAAAATATAAGCCAGGCTGGCTTCCTGGTGAAGTTATCGCCTGCAGAGATGGACCATTAAAAGAGCTAAATGAAATGGGTGATGTACCATTAAGAAGGCCATTAACAGAGAGCCTCTCCCTGAGTCTAGATTCAGGTAGGTAGTCGTGTCAGTCTGACACAGCCGAAATAAAAAAATTGTCCAGTAGCACCTTATAGATCAACTACGTTTGTTCTGGGTATAAGCTTTTGTGTGCATGCACACTTGAGAAATAATTAACAGAGAAAAAAGGCCAGAGTTTCAGGAGGGAGGGGCAGAATTGTAGGGGGCGATGAGGTAAACAAACAGGAAAAAGTGTCATTTTTGCAAGCTGGAGATTGGGGGTGCAGAGCATGGGGCAGACTGTCTGTTTTATGCTGCAGAGAGGGTCAGACACAATATTTTGGGTCTCTCCATCTATATATCAAACTTTTTTTCGGTCACAGACCAGCATAAGAGAAGACATACGGATAAAGTAAACACATAGGATTTAAAACAGGTAAAGGAAAAAACTAGTAGTTAAGAGGTGATTATATCATACATAACTTTAAAAAGTTAGAGACAAGGACAAATGGTTAAAAGCGACTATAAGGGAGGGAGCATGAAGGAGCACAGATCTTGCATTTTGGGTCTAGTTTGTGGCACGAACCATCCTTTGATGGTGGTTACAGCTGTTACAACTAGGTATGTAACATTTGTGTTTTCATCTTGAAGTAGCGGGGAGGTATAAAGTTCTTCTGTGTGACATGGAAATTTATGTAGTATAGGCGAGATGAACCTAGCTCATATATCTGTATAGTATTGGCAGTGAAAAAAGGCATGTTCCATTGGATAAATGTGTAAACAAATCATATATCATAAAGGCACCACAGTCTCTGCTCTGCCTTATTGCCCAAAAGGAAACATAGACCCTGGTAAGCACACCTGGTACCCCTGGAATCTCGCATTGCTCAGAGATTGGAGTGGTGTGTAACAATAATTTAATTCTGGGCTGTGTGGAGAAGTCCATCGCTTTGTCCTGTATGTTCCCATATTTAGCTTCATTCGTTGGATGTCTGCAAGTTCTGGTGCTATGAGAGAGGGAGAAAACACTTTCCCTCCATTATTTCATGATTCTGGAGGAATAGCCACCATGGCGTAGTATTTTCCAACCCTGCTGTTCATTTTCTGCAGGGCTGACTATGTCTTGGCCTTGTGGCGGCCATTTTCTACGTCAGATGGATTTTTGTCAAGTGCCTTTTCCAAGAAGGTGATATCTTTGACCTACAGGTATCTTGTCTTTTGCAGCAAAGTGAAAATCCTGCCAGCTCAGATGCCTGTTCCTATCTTTGTGTTCCTCTGGAGGGACATTTTAAAAATAGCACTATGATTTTCGTTCCTCCCTTCCCCACTCCACCTCTCGTTCTTTGTCTCATAACCTGCTTCTGGGAAGAATCAAAGTTTATCTTCAGGCAATTTCTGTGAAGCTTAAAAGGGCCCCTGTGCCAATTTGCTGCCCTGGAGGAGACATGCTGTCCTAGTACCGTGCCCTCAAAATTTCAAAAACAAGGGAGCACTTTTGTGTGATAGGATGTTGAACCAAAGGGCATGCTTGCAGGAGACTTGAAGTGTGCATGAAATATGCATTCTTTAAGAGGAAGAAGACAGACCAGTAGGCAATGGTTTAACATCTGGGGGCCCAGACTCAGTTCCACTCTGTGCCATGATGGCCTCTTCCTTCTCTTAGTTCATGGGGCTGCAGGCTGTGAACTTGACCCAGCGATGATTCTCAGAAAGGGGAAGATCTGTGAATTA